GTCAGCTGCATCTCATGTTTGCAGAGCACAGATCTTAGACATATTGTGTTAAATTTATCCCTAAGTATTTCGCAGCTCTAATGCTCTAGCCGCACCATGTCCTTCCAATAGTTCACCACCAGTACTCAGAAAAACCGGCTACTCTGGTGCCCTGTCACTGAATCTCAGGACCCTGTTGACCCTACTGAATCCAAACAGAGTTTCAATGATACTTCAGGAATTCCTACATGATTATGTCATCTCCAAATAGCACAACCTATTCTTTTGGAGTTTTTTGTTTTTGTTTTTTAATGTGTATGAGTGTTTTGCATGTACGCAAGTGCACCTGTGCCATGAAACGCCCATGAAGGCCAGAAGAGTGCATCAGAGCCCCTAGAACTAGAGCTATGGATGGCTGTTAGTTGCCATGTGGGTGCTGGGAACCAAACTCAGGCCCTTTGCAAGAACAGCCAGTGCTCTTAACCACTGTGCCATCTCACCGGCTTTGTTTGCTTTGTTTGTTTGTTTGTGATACGGTCTCCCTATAGCCCCAGCTGGCCTGAACTCGCTACTGTAGACCAGGCTATCCTTGAATTCACAGAGATCTCTCTGCTTCTGCCTCTGCTTCCCAAGTGCTGGGATTAAAGGCATGTACTACCATGCCCAGTCTCTGTTCTTCTTCAGGGGAGGAGGGAGGGGAATATGTGCACGTGTGCTGGGTATTAGAACTCAGGTCCTCAGGGCTGGAGAGATGGCTCAGCAGTTAAGAGCACTGGCTGCTCTTGCAGGAGACCCAGGTTCAAATCCAAGCACCCACATAGTGGCTAACAACCATCTAAAACTCTAGTTCCAGGGAATCTGATGTTCTTGTCTGACCTCCACAGCTACTGAATGACACAAGTAAACTTAACACACATGTAGACATAACACTCATACACATAAAATTAGAAATAAAGTTTTAAAATAGGTGTGAGGTTAATCTTCAGGGTCAACTTGACTGGATGTAATATCAACCAAGAGAAACATGGCTGGGCATGTCCATGAGGGTGTTTACAGGGATATTTAACTAAGGTGCCCCACCAACCCTAAATGCAGGAGCCACCAGGGTTGGAAAGAGGGCTCAGTGGTTAAGAGCACTGACTGCTCTTACAGAGGACCCAGGATCAACTCCCAGTACCCACATGGTGGCTAACAATCATCTGTAACTCCAGTTCCAAGGGATCCTAGGTCTTTTTCTGACCTCCACAGACACATGACACAGGTGCCCTTACAGGCATGCAGGCAATACACTCATACACATAAAAAATAAATTTAAAAAAAAGTGTAGGTGACACCATCCCATGGGCTGGGGTCCTGGACTGAATAAAAAGGAGACAGCGAGCTGAGCAGCAGCATCCATCTCTCTCTGCTTCCTGACTGTGGATGCCATGTGAGCAGCTGCCTCACGCTCTTGCCCCCATACCTTCCCATGATGGACTGTACACTCAAACTGGAAACAAAATAAGCCATACCATCTTTACATTGTTTTGTCAGGCATTTTGTCACAGCAATGAGGAAAGTAATGGATACAGTTGGCTGAGCATCCCAGGGCAGCCAGGGCTCCATCCTCAGAAGACCTGCTCCAAACACATGCAGCACTCGGACTGCAGGGCACAGCAGACTCTGAGACAGGCCACTTACAGGTAGGGGAGGCAGAGGACAGGCCTAAGCAACAATCTGCCTGCCCATGAGCAGGCAGCCACCAGGACTAGGCCCCTCTCACATTGGTCAGCAATGATGCTAATAAGTTCATTCCCTCGGGGGGGGGGGGGGGGGGGGGGGCAGTGGGTCCTAGGTCAGGCTGCAAAGGGTGTCCCTAAGGATCCCTGAAGAAAGTTGGATCATCAGGGGGGCAGTGCCACCTAGTGGTAGCTGCACCCAGATCGCACAGAGCCCAGAGCCCAAGTCCTACAGGCCCCAAGATGATGGTACAGGCTTACATGCAGGAGTACTGCTTCTCGGGGCTTGGTCAGTAAGAGCTAGCTGATCTTTTCAGTTGCCCAGGCACCAGTAGGGGGTGGGTCCTTGAAAAGGTACAGTCATGTATGTGTACATGTGTGCATACATGCATATAAGAATGAGTGAACAGGCAAATGTATAATTCTTCCTGTAGGGACACAGACCCAGCACTGAAACCCAACTTTTCCCTACCCTTACATTTCTTCTACATGCCCAGTACCACAACCAATCTCATTACACACAGGCTTCAGAGTCACTCACCTGCCCTACAAAGAAAGTTCCAACAGCTGCCCAAAACTTGACCACAAGAAAGGGAAAGAAGGTGGACAACATGGCTTAGCGGGTAAAGGCACTTGCTGCCAAGCCTGACGACCTGAGTTCAATCCCCAGGAGTCAAGTGGGGGAAAGAATCAACTCCTTAAGTTGCCTCTGACTTTCACATGCACTTGCACATGGACACACACACACACACACACAGACAGACGCACGCACGCACACACACACTAAACAAAGTATAAAAAGAATTTTTTTTAAAAAAAGAAAGCCAGCTGAGCATGGTTACACGTGCCTTTAATTCCAGCGCAGGCAGACCTCTGTGAGTTCGAGGCCAGTTTGGTCTACATAGCAAGTTCCAGGCCAGCTGAAGATACAGGGAGATCCTGTCTCAAAAAGACAAGAAAGGGCTGGAGAGATGGCTCAGTAGATAAAAATACTGGTTGTTCTTGCAGAAGACCTGGGCTCATATCCCAGCACCCACATGGCAGCTAATAACTGTCCGTAACTCACCTACATGCAGGCAATACACACATACACATAAAATAAAGATAATAAAGAAAAAAAACCAAAGACAGGAGAGAGAGAGAGAGAGAGAGAGAGAGAGAGAGAGAGAGAGAAAGCCAGGGCCAGGTGTAACTGCACACGCCTTGAATCCCAGCACTCAGGAGGCAGAGCCTCTTTCACAACAACAACAACAAACAAAAAAAAAAAAAGGAGGGGGAGAGCCAAATTTTTCATCCTATCAGGGAATCTCAATTTTCTCCAAATTCTGTGTGTGACCACACCTGGCTAGGTTGTTTTTTGTTGTTGTTTTGGTTTGGTTTGGGTTTTTTTTTTCCCAAGGAGAATTAGCTGGGGACTGAACCCTGGGCTTCACACAGACTAAAAGCAAACTCTAGCAAAGATCTAAACCCTCAAACCACAGGTTATTGTGATGAGGGGCCACATTTAGAGCTGCTGATCTGCATCCCGCAGGGACAAGTATAACCATGGGAATGGAACACAACTCACATGGGGTCCAGAACGGACTCCTGTGGTACACAAGGAAGCAAGCGACGGGGAGGCTACCAAAGGCACCAAACAGCTGCAGCAGCCCAGGGCAGAGCACGTATGATGCTAAGCATGAGAGGAAAAGCCAGCCCGAAGCGAAGCCCACAACCCGGGGAGACAAGGGAACAGTGCACAAGGGCAGTGTCCTCTGCCTCCAGAGAGGCCGGTCACCCAGGAGGCGCCTCCTAAGGACAAGCTCCTGCTGGGCCACTTAGGCACAGCTGGGAGAAGTTCCTTACTCCTTACATCCAAGGAGAGGGACCTGGGGCAGTGTGGTGCCTGGGAAAGGTCTCCTCAGCTTCCCCAATGAGGACACAGAACACTACAGTATCCATTCCTCCCTCCTGCCTGACCCTAGGCAGGTTGGGCATAGGCACACAACCACCCAAGGACTAGCTTGCCTTCATTCCAGGCACACTGTCCACAAAGCACTTGAGTGGGGAAACAGGTCTGAAGGGCTCAGAAAGCCACCAGGCATTTCAGTCTGGCCACAGTGGCCTGCACCACTCCAGCCAGAGCGGCAGCTCCAACAGCCTGACTGATACTAAGTACCATGTGGCAGGTAGCAGGCACATGAGCACACTAGCAAGAGAGTGACCAACAGGTTTGGTCCAACTGAGCATGAGGGGCCTCTGATCACTCTCATAAGAATGAAGTCACGGAGGTGTTTCGTCTGAGCAGAGCAGCCCAGGAGCAGGAAGGACCCTTGCCAGCAGCTAATGAGGCCAGAGGACAGGATGAAGCACACAGCCTGCTGGGCTGGCCTCCGAGAGTTGAAGTTCTACAGATAGGCTGAAGAGGAAAAGGCTCTGTGATTTAGTGATAAGAAAACCAAGACACACTGTCAAGTGACAGAATGGAAGGCAATGCTGTGATCAGAAGGTGGCAATTCCAGAGCCAGCGTGGGATGGTCTGATGACAGGACAGCTGAGCTCAGACAGAATCTCAACCCTGGCCTCCTTTCCCAGGGCAGCTAGAAAGACAACCTGGAAGCCAGACGTCTTAAAACAAAGGGCTGCTCGAACCCCGCAGGCCTGTGCCCAGGATCCAAAGGTTCATCCCAATCTCTCAGACCTGAAACACACGTGGCCCCATGAAATGTGGCAGCCAGGCCAAGTCTCAGGGGTTCTCAGCAGGCCAATACTGAGCCACTATTAGGACAGATGAGGAGTGGGTCGATGGGGTGGCTAACAGGATCAGCCCTATGTTTCCCACGTATCCAAATATACAGTGCCCAGCAGCTCTGACCCGCAGCACATGCATGCCTCCACCCTCAGCTGGCACAGACCAGCTACACAGGATGCTACAAGGGCCTGAGTGAGATAAGAATCCTCTAGTAAGTTGGGGCTTTCAACTAGGTTCATCCCAAGAGGTTATCATCACTAAAAAGACGATTTCCCCTCAAAGCAATGACTTCTTCACACACACAAGGTACTGTGATGGTGCAGGCAGTGAGACATGCCTGCCCCCTGCCCCGTGGATAGGCAGGTTTTCTATAAAGATGTCCTTACCAATTCAACAGGAAGAGTGACTTAGCTCCACCTCCCTCCTGTGTGAAGCACCTCAATACACCTGGACGAGGTGGGGCAAGAGCTCCTACCCAGAACCCACAGAGGAACCTGCCTGCCCTATCCTCAGGACTCCAAGCCAGAAGGCCCTGGAATCAATGGCCCCAAGAGGAAACAGGGCACACCTACCTGAGGTTCAAACCCATGGTCTGGTCCAGTCTCTCCCAGCTCTGTAGCTTCGTCAGCAGCTTCTAGAAAGACAATTACAGCCATCACCATCTTCTGCCAAACAACTATCACATAAAACTAACAATGACACTGGCACACTGGCAATACAATGAGTCCTTGTCCCTGTCTGAGACTGGAGGTGTGAAAGGTCTGATTCCAGGTGACTGGACTACTTCATCAGCCAAGGTTATGGTACACAGCCCACCACAGCCTCACTTCCTCCTGCTCCTTCCCACTCCCACCAGGCAAGTCAAGTCAAATGCCCAGGATTCTGAGGGTACCACAGTCCCGCAGCAGTGCATGCCAGGTGCAGACCCAGTCCTTACTCCCCCAGGGCCAGTCTCTCTCCACTTTCCAGGAGCCTCTCAGAAGGCCAAGCACCAGACAGATAGGCTTGGAAAAGCCACGTTTTCCCCATGTCATGGTAGGACAGGACCATCAATGACTTGGGAGGGGACAGTCAGTCCTCTGGGGCAGGCAGGGACAGTAAGGTGCATGTGCCTGTTCCATTCAGACTTCAACCTATACATTTCTCCACCCTTTAGAACTGAAACAACCAGAGGACGAAAACCAAGTACTTCAGATCAGTCACACATATAGGCGCCCAGCACAAGACTGTTATCAGGGGTTCACTCAAAGTCCTGGCCCCAGGGCTGCCCAGAAGGGTAGAGGAGCTTGCCACCAAGCCTGGTGACCTGAGTTCGATCCCCAGAATGCACATGGTTAGAGGAGAAAACCAACTCATGCAAGTTGTCCTACAACCTCCACACAAACAGGGTGGCACACATGCATGCATATATACATATAAACTAAGAAATTTAAAAAGAACTCTTTTAAGGGACATGAAGGTGCACAGCTGCTACCTGTCCTAGAGCCAGAGCTATGACGCAGCTGCTCCATACTAGGCCCTGATCTGAACACTCCACATGAGACAGATGGGGGCGGACTGCTGCAGCGTCAAGTTCTCCACACAGGGCTCAAACCATTCTAGACTCTAAACCTCAAACACTGTGAAAAAACAAAACAAACCAAAAACACTGTGTCGGAGCTGGACCACATAAGTACCCACACCCACAACAGGAGGCTCGCAACCACCTGAATTCCAGCTCCAGGGGATTCAATGCCCTCTTCTGGCCTCTGTGGGCACATATACACATATGGTGTATGTATACACACTCACACACACACACACACACACACACACACACACACTCTAAAAACACTGTCTAGGTCTAATATAAATTATACTGCTAAACTGCCATGCACTATTTGCACTTCTGAGAGTAGACTCAGGGACCAAGCTGGGCTCCCTTGTTTCAAATTCCAACAAATTTATTTCACATGGTCTTCAAGACACTGAGCTGGGGCAGGCCTGCCCCCTGGCTCTGTAATGAGGAAAGAGAACAGCAAATATCTAGGAGCACTAAAAACACTGGGCCCTTGAGAACAGCTAGAAGGTAAACCATTTCCAACAGAGGCCCCTACTGTTTATCCTATGTTATAAAAATGCCTGTGGCCCTGGTGTGGTGGTGCATGCCTTTGACCCCAGCACTCAGGAGGCAGAAGCAAACAGATCTCTGTGAGTTCCAGGCCTGCCTGATCTACACAGAGAGTCCCTGTCTCAAAAACAACAAAAAGATGCCGATGGTGGGAATAGGAAGCTGGACACTTCCTCTGGGAACTCCAGCATGGCTGTTTCAGCGGGGCTACCCCAGTCATCTCTGCTGGATGCTGAAAGCGTTCAGTTGGATGGTTTGCCAGCTGCTGCTTCTCTCAGCAGCAGCTTACTGTTTTTTCTTTTAATTCTGCTTGCTATCCACTTCATAAACACACTCATTCAAAATTGAAAGTACGGCTATCACAGATTATTCACTGGACAGCACACTAGAGCAAAGGACCAAAGGACATGCCAGGACTTGTGCCTAGAGAAGCCAGCCTCTAAGATGGGCCTGTGTGGGAAACTGTGAAGAGCCATGGGCTGGTGCCCTGGCTGGTCCCTGAGGACCCCAGCACCAACAGGCACACAGTTGTCCTGGGCCTCTAAAAATATTTTTAAAAAGAAGATAGGATATGGCGGCAGATGGATCTACATAACAAGTTCCAGGCCAGCTAGGGCTATAGAGAGATCCTGTCTCAAACAAACAAACAAAAAAAAACAACAACAACAAAGACAAGGCTGAGGAGATGGTTCGGTTGGGAAAGTGCTTACCACACAAGCATGAGGACCTGAGTTCAGATCCCCAACACCCACATAAAAAAAATAAATAAATAAAAAATAGAAAACTGGGCATAAGCTGGGTATGGGCACGCACATGCCTTTAATCCCAGCACTCAGGAGGCAGAAACAGGTGGATCTCTGTGAGTTCAAGGCCAACCTGGTCTCCACTGGTCTCCATAGTGAATCCAGGCTAGCTGTGGCTACAGGGAAACCCTGTTTCAAAAAGACCAAAAAAAGCCGGGCATGGTGGCACACACCTATAGTCCCAGCACTTGGGAGGCAGAGGCAGGTGGATCTCTGTGAGTTCAAGGCCAGCCTGGTCTACACAGTGAGTTCCGGGACAGCTGGAGCTACAAGGAGACCCTGTCACAAAACAAAACAAAACAAAACAGAACAAACAAAACAAAACAACCAAAATAAATAAATAAATAAAAGGCCAAAAGTAAAAAGCTGGGCAGAGGTACATAGAGGTATACCTGAATCATAGGACTTGGAGAACAGACAGGCGGATTCCTGAATCTCACCGGCAACTAATTAGACTAGCTAATTAGTGATCCCTGGGTTCAATAAGAGACTCTGTTCTCAAAACAGAAGGGGGAGAGGTCAGAGGCCCCTGAGGCCCCTAAAACAAGCAATCCCACTGCTGTTGGCTGCCCACCAGAACTACAGGATGAGATCCTCCTTCTAAAGATGCCACGCCTCAGTTGCAAGACATGGAGGAATCAAGCTGGAACTGAACTAGAAGCTTCCTCCCTGATGACTGGTCCTTACTGTACTGCAGGGTGCCATAAGGAATGCAGGGGAGAACTTGACAGAGTCTTGCTCAGCTGTGTACAACATACTGACCAACCAGGTAACACACGCCCAAGATGCAACAGTGGCAAGTGTGTTATGGGATAGCCAACTGCTTACTGATTGGATCTGATGCATGTGACATCAGCAGGAACCCCCGTCTGGTACCATAAACCCAGCCAAAGCCAGTGGCTGGATATGTCACAGACCCTAGTATAGAAGCAACAACTGCTGCTTTGCTAAATGGACATACTGGGCTACACAGCCTTCTATACAGCTATGTTTACAGCCCACAGAATAGTACTGTCAGCTTTAGTGAGAGACGCTTCTATCTACAGTGGTCAGCAGTGACTGCAGAGACTCACAACTGCTGCTTCTGCTCACCATACCATCACAGGACCCCAGGGGTGACCAGATATCACATGGGACAGATGTGCTCTAGAAGCAAGGGATAGCCCTGGTGGCACAACTCACCTCCTTCTCCAACTCCAGGTCAACCAGAGCTTCCTGCATCTTCTCCTGGCGGCCCAGTTTCCTCTGCAGGCCTTCCAGCTCCTCCGTCAGCAGCCTGTTGGTTTCCCTCATCTCCCTAAAGGCCAGAACGCCAACAGTCATGCTGGAGACAAGCAGAAGGGACACCCACCCCAGAAACCCAGTTCCAGGTAGAGGGAGCAAGCTAGACCCCAGGTCCTCACCGCAGATGAGTGTTCTCCTCACGAAGTCGCTTCAGCTCCCGCTCCATCCTAGGCAGCTGCAGCAGCTGCGACTTCATGCTCTTCACCACGGCCGCATCCTGCTCTTGCAGGCACAGCTTCTGCTCCAAGTCCTAAAGGAAGCAGAGAGGAGAAATGGGAGTAGCCAGGAGACACAGGAAACGTGGCCTCTGTCAGTAGAGGCTGGCCTGAAGAACACATGCTGGCCCTCCAACTACAGAAGGTTCTAGAAAAAGGACAGTGACAGTGAGATTGTGATGGTCAGGTTGAAGAGAAGAGAGACGAAAGGAAAAGGCAGCAGTAACTAGAAGACAGCTTAGTCAGTAAGTGCTTGCTGTGCAAGCATGAAGCCTTAACTTCCATCCCCAGGACTCACATTAACAAAGGGGGGTGGGGCCAGCTGTGGTGGCGCACCCGTTTAGTCCCAGCACTGAGGAGAGAGAGGCAGGCAGATCTCTGTGAGTTCAGGGCCAGCCTGGTCTACAAAATGAGCTCTGGGCCAGCTGGGGCTATAGGCAGACCCTGTCTCAAAAAAAAGAAAAGAGAACAGAAAAGAAGAAAGGGGAGGGGAAGGCAGGGGAGGGGAGGAGAGGAGAGAAGAGAAAAGGAAAAGAGAAGAAAAGAAAGAGAAGAGAAAAGAAAACAAAAGAAAACAAAAGAAAAGAAAAGAAAAGAAAAGAAAAGAAAAGAAAAGAAAAGAAAAGAAAAGAAAAAAGAAAAATCGCTTTAAAAAGGGGGGGAGTAGGTGGCTAGTAATGGGGGCTGGGGAGATAGTTCAGCAGTTAAGAACACTTGATGTTCAGGCTGGAGAGATGGCTCAAGGGTTGGGAGCACTGACTGCTCTTGCAGAGGACCCAGGTTCGATTCCCAGCACCCAGATGGCAACTACAAACCATCCTTAACTCCAGTTCTGGGGGAATCCAACTCCCTCTTCTGACCTCCACAGCATGACACAGGTGCACTCACACACACACAGGCAATACACTCATACACATAAAATTAAAATAAAAAATTAATATATATAAAACACTCACTGTTCTTCCAGAGGACCGGGTTAGATTCTCAGCACCTACATGGCAGCTAACAACCATCTGTAACCCCAGTTCCAGGGGATCCAACAACCTCTTCTGACCTTTATGGGTATTGCATGCACATGGTACACTTACATACATGCAGGCGAAACATTCATACACATGAAATAAAAAAAATTTTTTTTTTTTTTTGGTCTTTTTGAGACAGCTGTAGCCACAGCTGTCCTGGAACTCACTATGTAGACCAGGCTGGCCTTGAACTCACAGAGATCGGCCTGCCTCTGCCTCCCAAGTGCTGGGATTAAAGGCATGTGCCACCACACCTGGCATAATATATTTTTTTTTAAAGGAGGTTAAGAATGGGGGGACTGGAGAGATGACTCAGCAGCTAAGAGCACTGGCTGCTCTTGGAGAAGACCCAAGTTGAGTTCCCACCACCCACATAACAGCTAACAACAGCAACTCGAGTTTCAAGGGATCTGACACCCTCTTCTGGCCTCCACAGGCAGTGCACAACATATGTTGCATGTACATACATGCAGGCAAAGCAGCCAAACATATAACATTTTTAAAAATAAAATAAATCTTAAAAATAAACTTTAAAAAGTGAAGGGGATAAGAGATAGGAAAGAGAATTACTGAATTAAAAACTAATTTTGTTTGAAAATGCCATAATGAAATACTGTCTATGCTAACTTACTATTTTTTAAATGAAAGAGTAATAAAATAAAAAATTTAATTTTTGAAATAGGGCTAGAGAAATGGCTCAGAGGTTTAGAAGCAAGCACTAGTCTTGTACAGGACCTGAGTTAGGTTCCCAGGATCTATGTTAGGTGGCTTGCAACCACCTGTAACTAGCTCCAGGGGATCCAACTTGTCTGGCTTCCTCATGCACCTGCGACTCGTGTATACACCCCACACAGGTACATACAGATACACAATTTTTTTGAAATAAATAAACCTTTTTTATTTCAAATGATATCAGGGAGCCACAAAGGTCTTCTTGTCAGTGGCCTCCACGGCCCAGAGCCTCTACGAAGCCTTCCCAGGACAGACCAGCTATGTTTCTCAGCTGTGGCCTTGTCATCAGCTCTAGGGCAGCCCCACCACTGCACCCCAAAAGCCAGTATCTACACCACTATCAGTCCTTCCAGTGCCCATTCACACACTGTCCAGTCTTCTGGACCCCCAAACCAGGAGCCCATGTCACATTCAGCCCACACACATGATGGGGCAGAACTCCCTTCTGGATATGTGCAGTCTGCTGCTGCCCCAGGAGTTAAACCTGCAGCAGCTGTGTCTATTCTCACTGTGTGACAGACTCTCCTATACCACACCTGTCACCTTGAACTTCAACAGGATAATAGCACTGGCATCTGGTGACAAGTCACTGAACAGGCTGCATATAAAACCAGGACCAAAGCAACTGGTCAACAAGCCCTCGTGGAGCCTAGCTTCATCCAGGCACTATGTGAGGTGGTAAGAACAGAGCGATAGAGAGGACTGTCAAGCTGTGGTGGGCTGAGGATTGCAGAAGCAAGGACAAGGCCAGGGAGAAGGTTAAGTAGGAAGCCAAAGGGGTTGGAGTAGAGTGGAGACACAGGATTGGCCAGTAGCCAAGGACAGCAGGAGCCAAGCCTACAGCTTTGGGGTTGGCCCAGATACACACAAGCAGGGGCAGCAAGAAGCCAACTGACACAGGCATCCCGTGGGTCTAGACATTGCTCTAGCAGGTGGCCATGGAAGAGACCTGAAGGCACCATCTCTTCAGCAACATTGCTAGAGTGAAGGGAGAGGGCTTGAATTTGCATTAGACAGAATGGCTAGGAGACTCAGCTTAGCCACGTGCTGGCTGGGCAACTGCGAAAGGATTTCTACCTCTCTAAACCTGCTTCATGTAGCCAAAGTCAATCTGGAACTTATGATCCTCTGCCTCAGCCTCTCAAGGGCTGGTATCACAGGTATGTCCCTGGGTCCAGCTCTCTGAGCCTAGATTGCAGTGTCTTCCGTGTTGACATTTTCCTGTGGGTTCCTAGCAGGTCCGGATCACCAAAGTACCAGATTCCTAGGAGTGCAACACTCACTGTGGCCTCCCCAGTACCCAGCATGGGGTTTGGCATACAGAGGACAATGTCTAAACACAACATTGAGCACACCACTGCTGAGAAAGGCCTGTGAGTGACAGGAGGCTGAGGTCCCCTGCTTCCTATGGAAGTAACAAAAGCTAGGGAAGAGCCTACCTTAATTTTCTGCTCCTGTTCTGCTCTCTCTTCTTGGCTGGCCTGCAGCTCCTGGATCTTCTGATTTGCCTCCTGCCATTTCCTAAGGGTGAGTATGTGACAGGTCAGCCCATGATGCCCCTCAACCTGAGCCCCTACACATCCACTGTAGGGGAACTCCAAGTCCTAGGCCAGTCCCTGCACTGGCTCCAAGGTGTGGTCTCATCTGATGGGATGAAGGGTGAGCCCAGTCCACCTGTGGCACCAGCCAGGTCTCATCTTTGGTATCTGCCACTCCTAATGCCACCACAGGTAGCAGAGGAGACACAGGCCTGCCCACACTAAGGGCAGATTGTGCCCAGACAGCACCTGGCTAGGGCAAGGGCAGTCCTTCAAGGGAGACTCCAAAGGGTCCTGACTGACACCCACAAACCATCACACACCCCTGTACTCTGCGCCTAGAATGGCTTACCCAGTCACAGCCACCCCTGCATCCTAATTTAGCTCAGTTAGACCTTCTCAGGAAGCTGGTTCCAAAAAGCACAATGCCCCAGGAAAGAAGGAACTGAGCTGCTACCCTCCTGCTCTGGTACTCACAGTACCAAGTCCAGAGGTCTCACTATGTGTCCCTCCTGCAGTATATGGACAAGGATGGTCTTAGGACTGACACAGACTGGTGCCCACTCTCACCGCTGCTGCAGGTCCAGTTGTTCCTTCAGCTCCTGCTTCTCAGACTCTAGACGTTTCACCTGCACCTCTTGGTCCATCATGCTCCACTGCAGCTCAGAGACACGCCCCTTGAGTGTGTTAATCGTCTGGAAGCAGAGGACACTGGATGCTCACTGAGGTCCATATTGCATATGGACCAAGTTCCCAGGCATGGCTTTTACACACAGAGATCAAGGTTAAAGGAAAGGGAGGGCACTTCACCTAAGCTACTGGGACAGAAACAGAGCCCACCTGTCCTGGAAACATGTGCCAGGTAGACAACACACCCTCAGGAGCATCCCAGCCCAGGTATGCCTTGTGCTCCTTATAAGCTGACAAAAGTGAGTCACAGCCAGGCCCTCTGGGAAAGCCAGTCCTAGCCACAATGGACTTCTAAGGCCTGGTAGCCTCCAAACACAGTACCACACACCCAGCATCCCTGTATTCCAAGAGTTCACTTCAGACTTCTCTCCACTCCTCAGGTCTCCTCACACTCCCTAACTACCCATTAGCAGACATTCCAAGAGGACGTAATTCAGAATGGAAGGACAGGAAGGTCCTGACCAAGACACAATAAACAGGAGACCCAAAGCTGTCCTCAGAACTGTGCTACAGAGCTGGGCCTGGTGGTATATGCCTGTCATCCCAGCTACGTGAAAGACTGAGGTCAATGAATTAAAAGTTTAAGACAAACTGGAGCTGGAGAGATGGCTCAGTGGTAAAGAGCACTGGCTGTTCTTGTAGAGAACCTGGGTTCCCATCACCCGCATGGCAACTAACAACCATTCATAACTCCAATTCCGGGGGAATTCAACACCCTCTTCTGTCCTATGTGGGCACTGCACAACACAGATATACTTACACACATGCAGACAATATACTCATACACATAAAAAATAATAGCCGGGCATGGTGGCACACACCTGTAGTCCCAGCACTTGGGAGGCAGAGGCAGGTGGATCTATGTGCATTCAAGGCCAGCCTGATCTACATAGTGAGTTCCAGCACAGCTGGGGCTACAGGGAGACCCTGCTTCAAAAAGACAAATAATAATAATAATAATAATATTTTAAAAATTTAAGATAAACCTGGACTATAGAGTGACTTCAAAGACAGCTTGAGCAGCTTAGTGAGAATTTGCCTCAAAATAAAAAGTAAAAAGAGCCAGGCGTGGTGGTGCACACTTTAATCCCAGCAGAGGCAAAGGGCAGGTGGATCTCTGTAAGACCAAGGCCAGCCTGGTCTACACAGCAAGTTCCAGGAAGCTAGGGCTACAGAGAGACCCTGTTTCAAAAATAAATGTAAAGAGAGGTCTGGGTATGTAGTACAATGGTAGAACATCCCCCAGTGAGTAGCTCAGCAGTAGAGTGCCTACCAGCACACATTAGGCCTTGGGTTCAACCCAAAAACACAACAACAAAAACCTATACTATAAAAGCCACCCAGGGGGGCAAGAGATGGCTCAGTGGTTAAGAACACTGGTTGTTCTTGCAGAAGACCCGGGTTTGAATCCCAGCACCCACATGGCAGCTAACAACTGTCTGTAACTCCAGTCTCAGGGGATCCGACAGCCTCTTCTGACTTCCATGGGCACTACATGACACGGGTGCACTTACCTACATGCAAGCAATACACACATACACATAAAATAAAAATAAATAAAATTTAAAAAAAAAAAAAAAGCCACCCAGGACAGGGAGTTGAAAGGTGACACAAGCCAGCTAGCTGGGCCAGAAGCTGCAGTACTTCAAAGGAGCAGCAGTCTCAGAGCCAAGCTGACAGCCTGTCCAGCGGCCTCCAGGACGGCAATGTGAGAAATATGGTCTTTTCTGTCAAAGGGCCGAGCAGCTATGTGCTGGCTTCTCAAGTGTTTGTCCCACCAGAGAGGCAATCAACATCCTGGAATGTCCCTGTGCTCTGACTCTGTGCCACAATTTCCTAGAATGCTTAAATGATTAACTAGATGTGTGGCTTTTACAGCCCTGAACCCCTTCTTTGTTCTTCTTAAACTAAGCCAAATGGGAGTCAACTGTAAAGTTAAACCTCAGCCCATAAAGAACATCCAAGTGTCCCATGTATTTAGGGATAAAAAGCAGACACTTTAACTGAGTGTGCTAGCTATACAGGATTTCGTGGCTACACTCCTTCTGCACAGGTCTGCCTTGTCCAGAGACCGTAATCTGAGTGGTGATCTCTTGATTTGCGACCCCTGTTTTGTCTCTAACAATAGTAAGCCCATCTGACACTACCAAACATTAGCACAAAGGAACCACCACCATTGGCTCTAACCACTCATAACCAGTGGATCTCCCCTGTAGTTTTCCTAGGGAGAGAGTATGCTTGACCAATTCACCCAAAAAAGCCAGTCTACTTAGAACTACCACATGAATTAACATAGAAGGCTCAGAGGTTAAGAGCACTGGTTGTTCTTGCAGAGGACCCAGGTTCAGTTCCCAGCACCTACATGACAGCTAACAGCCATCTGTAACTCCAGTTCCAAGGGATTTGACACCCCTCTCTGACCGCCACAGGCATTGTACAACACGGGTGCACTCACATACATACAGGCAATATATTCATACACATAAAAATAATTTTAAAAAATTTATATTTTATTTATTATTTTTATTTTATGTTGTATGAAGACCTGTGATCATATCCCCAGCATGCGTGTAAAAAGCTGGGTGCACACTGGTAACTCCAGCACTGAGGACACAAAGACAGTAAGGTCCCTGAGACTTGATGGCCAGCTAGTTTAGTCAAAAAAAAAAAAAAAAAAAAATTTACAGGTCTAGTGACAGACCCTGTGTCAAAAACTAAGGCAGAGCCAGATGCAGGAGGCAGAGAGGCAGAGAGGCAGGAGTATCAGCAAATTCAAGGTCAGTCTGGTCTACATTTCAAGTTCCAGGCCAGCGAGCACTATAAGACCATGTCTCAAAAAACAACAATAATAATAAGGTAGAAAGTAAATGAAGAGGACACTCAACATCAACCTTGGGCCTCCACATACTCATACATACATATGCATGTGCATACACCCATATGCATGCATATATACAAGAACACATATAAATATACACCACACACACACAAATCAGAAACTGTCCAACGGTGTGTTCAATGTTCGAGAAGTCTCTCTGAACTCAGTGATATGCACAAGGGCCTAGATGCTATGATAGGGACAGCCTGCACTGGTAGAGGACAAGTGCCGTGTGGGCGCAGGGCCAAGGAGCAGGGAGCAGATGAATAGGGGAACTGCAGGGCGGCAAGTGACAGATCAGGGTCAAGGACTGTGTGACAAGGAAGGGCTTCCCTAAGGAGGGGCCACTGAACATCTTCACTGAGGGGTATGCCAGGGTCTCCTCTACCATGGAAGGACCCAGCATGCAGGGCTAGGGACCCAGAGCAAGGCTTCGCCTGTGTGAAGCAGGAGCCAGCTCGTCTGGAAACAGATCACGCCTCCTCTCCTGCCAAGACTCGCTTCAGAAGACAGATGCAGGAACAACCTTAACATGCTCCCTGGCGCTGCAGAGGTAAAAATAACCCATCGCCCGCTCGGGAATATCTATCAAGTGGAGAAGGTGCAGGGACAGAATACCAATGATGCCATGAGGCTGGCCCCTGCCATTCTCAGCTGTTTCCTCCTGGCTCCTGTAATCTTGAACACCACAGAAGAGGGGCAGGGAGGTCAAGGGGTTCCAGCTCCTGCTGCACCCACACATGGGCAGTTACCAAACAGACTCCAGCCTTCCCTCACACTGTACCACACGCACACATCCAGGTTCAAAGGCATTTTCTGATGCTAGCAGAACTCACTGGTAATCAAAGTTATGTTAGTCTACAGGCACTTAGATCTTCTGGGAAAAAAGGAAACAGGACTTCCAGAATATTCCCCCATCCATTACAGGTAAGACAATGATGACACAGATACCCCACAGTGCCTATCAGCACAGCTCAGCAACTGCAGCAGCAACCAGAGAGCTGCACCCAGGACCACCACCTTGCACCTAGAGTCTGTCCAATGTCCAAACACAACAGTGGGGTGGGGGGAAGCCAACAGATCACACACAGAAAGCCAATGAGTAGTGCATAGGAAGTCTTGTGCCACACAGGCATAGGGGAATACAAACAACCACTCACTCAACTGTGGAAAAAAAAAAGGTGAGCCAGCCATCAACATTCAATTCACAGTTGCAGAGGCAAAGTGAGACGGGTAGGATAGCTCACTCGTGGCATCCCAACACTGCAGAGGCAGAGCCTCAAGTGTCTAGGCCAGCCTGGTCTACCTACTGAGTTTCAAGCCAGCCTGGTCTACAGAGTGAGACCTTAACTCAAACAAACAACTCAAAAACTGAAGACCTGGGACTATAGAGATGGCTCAGCGGTTAAGAACACTGACTGTTCTAGCAGAAGATCGGGTTCGAATCCCAGCACCGACATGGCAGCCAACAACTGTCCATAACTCCAGTTCCACGGGATCCGACAGCCTCTTCTGTCCTCTGCGGGCATTGCACAACATGGGAGTTACGCCTGCATGTAAGGCATAACACTCATACACATAAAAAAACAAAAATAATAAAATATTTTTTAGAAAAAAACAAAACTGAAGACCTGCCGGGCATGATGGCACACGCCTTTAATCCCAGCACTTGGGAGGCAGAGGCAGGCGGATCTCTGTAAATTTAAGGCCAGCCTGATCTACATAGTGAGTTACAGGACAGCTGTGGCTACAGGGAGACCCTGTCTCAAAAAGACCAAAAAAAAAAAAAAAACCGAAGGCCAGAGTGTTCAATACATTACTGACCCTGCAGAATGGAAAAATCTGTACTTTTACTGTGATTTCAATCTCACAAAATTAAGGTGCACCCATGATTCATTTAAAATCTCATTTTTAAATGCAGGACTGGGAGAAGGGTCAGTCACTAAAGTATTTACCATTAAACTAGAACATGAATTTGATTCTTGGAACCCATGGAAAATGCAGTGTGGTGGTGTGCACTTACAATCCCACATAGTGTATGGCGGTGTGCACTTATAATCCCACAGCATACGGCAGTGTGCACTTATAATCCCACACAGTGTGGCAGTGTGCATTTATAATCCCACACAGTGTGGCGGTGTGCATTCATAATCCCACACAGTGTGGCGGTGTGCATTTATAATCCCACACAGTGTGGCGGTGTGCATTTATAATCCCACACAGTGTGGTGGTGTGCACTTACAATCCCACACAGTGTGTAGCAGTGTACATTTGTGATCCCACACTGATGACAAAGAGACAGTCTCCCCTGGAGCTTGCTCGCTGGTCAGTCTAACCTAATCAATGAGTTTCAGGCCAGGGAGAGTTGTCTCAAAAAAGGAGGAGGGGGGCTGGAGAGATGGCTCAGTAGTTAAGAGCACTGGCTGCTCTGCAAAAGACACAGGTTCAAATCCCAGCACCCACATGGCAGCTAACAATCGTCTGTAGCTCCAGTTTCAAGGGAGCCAAAACCCTTTTCTGTCCTCCACAGGCACTACATGATATGGATGCAGTTACATACATGCAGGCATAACACTCATAACCATAAAATAAAAATAAATTTTTGAAAAAAAGTAAGTGGGAGGCTGCAGAGATGTCTCAGAAGTTAAAAGCACTTACTACTTTTGTAGAAGACATAAGTTAGGTTCCCAGCACCCACATGGGAGAGCTCACAACCACCTCTAACTCCAGTTCCTGGGCATCCAATGCCCTCTTCTGGCCTCCACAGGCACTGTACTCACATGCACATACCCACATACAGATATATACACATACATATAATTAAAAATAAAAATAAATCCTTAGGCTGGGCATGGCAGTACACATCTTTAATCCCAACACTTAGAAGGCAAAGACAGATGGATCTCTGAGATCCAGGCTAGCCTGGTATACACAGGAAGTTCCAGACCAGCTGGGACTATAGGAAGACCCTATCTCAAATAAATAAATAAACTCAAAAAATAAAAATAAAAAATGAATAAATAGATTTATAAAAAACAAGGCACCTGAGGAAAAACAGCCAAGGTTGATCTCTGGCCTCCAAAGGCATGTACACATACATGCATCAACATGTGCACACACACACACACACACACACACAGATGAAAAAAATAAAATGAAGATGTCACACTGTCACTGTGCTGAGTTGAAAGTGAACTTGTTCTTTTTTCTTGCAGAACAGTCACTAGCCACAGGGTGAGCCTGGGACCCAGGCGCAGGCCTACGCTCACCTCACTGGCAGCGGCTAGGCCGTCCTCCTGCTCCCGCAGCTGCTGGCTGGTGGCATCCAGGCTTTGCTTACACAGCCTGTGGCGCTCCAGCTGCTCCCGCATCTTCTCCTCTGCCTCAACCTCACGCTCCTGGAGCTGCCGAATGCGTGCCAGGAGCTCCTGGTTGCGGTCCACCTCACGCTGTGGAGAGGGAAGAACTTGGTCAAGGGGGAGTGGGACACAGAAGAGCCAGGCAGGCCACAGCCACAGAAAAACGGGTCAGGACGAGGCCTGGGACCTGGGTGCCAGGGCTCCTGGCACAGGGCAGCAAGGCAGCTCCTACTGAGAGGCACTTGGCATGGATCACACTACATGCTTCTCACACCGTCTGCTCACAGCCTCTGTCTTTGCGGGAGGAGACAGAGCATGGAAAATCTACAATTCAGACTTGACCTTGAAATGAAGCTGAGCTTCTGCAGCGCCAGCAGATCTCGTCTGTCCACCCTGGGGCATCATTAGAATGCATCGACACTCTCCACAGAGAGGGGAGCTAGAGCATGGAAGAAGCATGACAGCTGCCTGCAGGCTGGATCACAACTGCCCCAAGTGTCTATCATACACACACCTTCAGGACCACCACGCTAACCTCCACGAGGTTTAGGTGGTGCCCACTGGTGAGCACCAGACAGTACTGAGGTACAGACCTCCTGACCTCTACCACAGGGACCTGAGGTGGCGATGTCAGCCTTGGAGAAGGGACCACAGAGCAGGAGCTGGTGTGAGTGCTTCAAGAGAAGCTGTCCACACACTCTCCCTCTACAGCCACCAGGAACTTCAGCAGGTCTACCGAACAATGGCGGAAGCCACCCGTGTCCAAACACTGCAGCCCCAAACAGTGGAAGGATTAATGCAAGCACCCAGAACCACAGTCTCTGTCAACAGGGAAGACTAAATCAAACCTCAAAGGGACCCCAGGGCACGGCAACTCATGCAGTCCAAACAGCCAGGGGACTCTTCTGCAAGTCGGAAAAGGCCCCTTTGTGAGGGGCTGGGGATGACTCAGGGATAGCAAGTGCTTAGCATCCGGGAAGCCCTGGGCTTGAGATGGGACAGGGGGAGAAAAGGAAGTGGCATGGATCAGAGAGTACTGCTGGAGCCAGAATATACTTTTGGCGGGGGGGGGGTTGTTGAGACAGGTCTTGCTGTAGCCACAACTGACCTGCTCTGTAGACCATGTTGGCCTTACACAGATCCACCTGCCTCCCGAGTGCTGGGATTAAAGGCATGTACTACCGTGTGGGTTCAAAATATGCTCTTTACTGGCACGGCCAGGTAAATGCAGAAGGAAGGTTAGGTCAGACATGGCCTCAGACTTCAGAACCTAGGTCTCACAACCAGAGGCTACTTCCACGTACGAAGGCCACCTGACCTGTCTTACCTACCACCAAATGGGCCACTCCTGAAAAGCCACTGTTGATGTCAAACCTCCAAGGGACAATGTGACAACACCCAGTGCTGGTGGCTCCCCTACTCCTTAGTGTGTCCTGCCTGAGGGCAGGAAAAGAAGGGACCTGGGGGGTCATGCTCTGTCACCCCCGCTGCACCCTTGGTCTTCCCCAAGAAGAGCCTTCCAGACCCAGCAGTCATACATTACTCAAACATCCTCCACCCAGCAAGGCCACCGTCGATGCACACTGGGGTTCCACAGACAAAAGGCAAGGCCCTGTGCTCAAGAGACTCTGCCCAGGAACACCAGGAGCTCCAGACTGCGGCCTCTGACTGAGAGCCAGGACTATGTCAACAACACAGCACTTCCCATGGGCTGAGGGCCCCACTGGAACCTATCCACTGTGATGATTAATACTGACTGTCAACTTGACAGGATGTAGAATTATCTAGAGACACACCTTTGGGCTTGTCTGTGAGGGTGTTTCCAGAGGTTTAACTAAGGGGGGAAGACCCACTCTGAAAGTATCCTATCATCTGAAGTAACTGAATAAAAAAGAGAACGCGAGCTGAGCAGCAGCATCCATCTCTCTCTGCTTCCTGACTGTGGATGCCATGTGACCAGCTGCCTTATGCTCCTGCCACCATGCCTTCCCACCATGATGGACTGCACCCTCAAACTGTGAGCCAGAGTAAACCCTTCCTTCCTTAAGTTGCTTTTGTCTGGTATTGTGTTACAGCAAGAAAGAAAGTGATCAATACAGAACCCTAACAAGGGAACTTCAGCCTCAACTCACCGAGCCAGGAAAACCCACCAGGACCAGCACTCTCAGGCTCAAATTGACACAAGGAGGGCACCAGCCATTTCTATCAGGACAAGGAAGGTTGTGATGGGGACATCGGACAAGAACAGGCCAAATGGCCGTCATTAGGAAAGATGAGAGAGGTCACAGACTTTGAGGGTCAATGCTTTGCCTGAGTCATAGTGGCACTTCCAGAGCTGGCCAACTGAAGCAGGGGCTGAGAATATAGCTCAGTCTGTAAAGAGCTTGCCTTGCAAGCATGAGGACCTGAGTTCAATTCCCAGAACCCACATAAAAAGTCTGGATGTGGGGGCTGTAGAGATAGCAGTGGTTAAGAGCACTGGCTGCTCTTGCAGAGGACCCAGGTTCAGTTCCCAGCACCCACAGAGCAGTTAACAACCATTCATTACTTCAGTTTCAGGGGATCCCTCTTCTGACCTCCAGAGACACTACACACACGATACACTTACATACCTCAGGTAAAACACTCATACACACAAAATTACAATAAATTTAAAAAATTTTTTTTAATAATTTTAAAGGCTGGGGCTAGAAAGTTGGCTTAGTGGTTAAAAGCACTGGTTGTTCTTGCAGAGGACCTGAATTCAATTCCCAGCATCCACGTGGTGGTTAACAACTGTCTGTAATTCCAGTTCAAGAGGAATCTGGCGCCCTCTTCTAAACTCTGCAGGCATTACATAACACAAATGTATTTACATACATACAGGCAATGCACTCATATACATAAAATTAAAATAATAAAAAGTTAAAATAAATAAATAAATAAATAAATAAATAAATAAATAAATAAATAAATAAATAATTTTAGAGGCTGGAAAGGTGGCTTGAGGGATAAGGGCACTTGCTGTTCTTCCAGAGGACCTGGGTTCAACTCCCAGTACCCATATGGCGACTCTGTTGTCCTTTTTTGACCTTTGCAGGCACTGCACACACACCAATAAATATACCAACAAAATGTACATTTTGTACAAAAACACTTGTACAAATAAAAATATCATTTAATTTTTTTTTAAGTCTGGGTGTGGTGGTGCTTATAATCTCAGCCTTGGGGGAGCAGAGAGAGGAAGATCTTAAGTCTTCCTGGCCAGCTGGCCTGGTCTAATTGTTGAGCTGCTGGCCAGTGAGAGACCCTGTCTCAAAGGAGGTAGATGGCATTCCAGAGGATGCCAAGATCACCCTTCAGTTTCCTGTACTTACATGTATACCTGCACAATGCATGCGCACACACAAACACACACACACACACACACACACACACACACAGAATTAGAGGTTCCTGCCCTGTACCTGCCCTATCTGCCAAGCCATGGGGCTAGGTTCCTCCAGACTGGCCATCACAGGGGCGATTTCATGAGCCTCTGGCAAGCCCCTCACACAAGTCCAAGACTTCCTCTGTCAGCCCCACAGCACCTGGCATTTCTGCCAGACCTGCATTCCAATTCTTTGGGAGAAAAGAAGCAGAGGCCTTGCAGAGGCAGGTCTGCTCACCTCACAACCTCACTGAGCAACAGACACATCAAAGACACCCTCTGAATACACCCCCACTTCAAACCACCGTTCTCCAACCCTGCCAACAACAGAGCAGCGGCATCAGGTGGCCACAGAGGAACACCCTAGCACCTCAAACCCTGCTGGCAGGGTCCTGACTCCATGCAGCCTGGCTGGTGCTGCATGCAACCCCCTCCTCCCAGAGCTGGCTGGACACACCTCGTAGTTCCTGGCGCTGGTGTTGGCAGCTCTCTCCAGCTCCACGCGAGCCCTCTTGTGACTCAGCTCCATCTGCATCTTCTCCCGCTCCACCTGGATGAGGTAGGACTTGGAACGGATCTGTTCTGCTCTTTCCTCCAGCTGAGAAAAGAGAAAAGAGAAGGCTCAGTGGCCACATCAAACAAGGCAAGTGGCAGCTTATAATCCCAGCACATGGGGTGCTGAGACATACATAGCAAAACCCAGTCTCAAAATAAAAACTGCCAGGTGTGATGGCACATGCCTTTAATCCTAGAACTTGGGCAACAGAGGCAGGGGGATCTCTGTGAGACCGAGGCCAGTATGGAATCCATAGTGAGTTCTGGGTCAGCCAGGATTATACAGTGATAACCTATCTCAAAAAAGAAAAAGAAAAAGAAAAAACAGTAACGGGATTAGTTCAGTTAGTAAAGTTCTTGTTGCATAGGATGGACAGTGTTCATTATCAACCTGACAGATTCTAGAATGACCTGGAAGACAGGGCCTCTGGGCAACTCTGTGGGGTATTATTCTGATTGTGTTAACTGAGATAGGAAGACCCAACCACTGTGCACTGGCTGGGGTCCTGGACTGAATAAAAAGGAGAAAGTGAGCTGAGCACCAGCATCCATCTCTCTACTTCCTGACTGTGGATGCCATGTGAGCAGCTGCCTCATGTACCACCATGCCTTCCCTCCACGATGGACCGCACCCTCAGACTGTGAGCAAAATTAATCCCTTCTGTTGCTTTTGTCAGACGATTTTGTCAACAGCAAAAGGACAAGAAGCTAAGGCATCACACATGCATGAGGACCTGAGTTTGGATCCCCAGCACCCACGTAAAAGAAAATGCCAAAGGCAGCAGTGCACACCTGTAACCCCAGCACTGAGAAGGCAGACACAGATCCTGGGGCTCGCTGGCCAACAAGTCCAGACAAACTGACAAGCTCCGGGGTCAGTGAGAGATCCTGTCTCAAAAAAGCAAGGCAGAGAGTGATTGACAACAGCACACAACATCAACCTGTGGCCTCTACATAAGCACGTACATGTACACACACAAAAAGAGGAGAGCTGGGTGTGGTGGCGCATGCCTTTAACCCCAACAGAGACAGGCAGATCTCTGTGAGTCCAAGGCCAGCCTGGTCTACACAGCAAGTTGCAGGTCAGCTGGGACTACAGGGAGCCCCTGTCTCAAGAAAAAGAAAGAAAGAAAGAAAAAATAAGAGGAAGAAGCCAGAAGATGGATTTACGATGATGCTGTGCAAGTCTGTTTTAGGAAAAAGGCCACATTAGTTTTCTATAGCTATCTAACAAGCTACCACAAAGATGGCAGCTGAAATCAACAAAAGCACAACTTGAAGGGTGTGGAGGTCAGAAGTCCACACACCCAGGACTAAATGTCTTATCATGAGCTCTAGGCTAAATTCTAGCAGGTCAGGAGTTGGGCTGTCTGGAGCTCAGGACTCTCTGCAAAGCCCACAGTTAGAGCACAGAGATCCACTTCCCTGCTGGGCTGTTAACCTAGGCTGGTGTTGGCACCTTGAACCTGCCCATGTCCCTCATCATGGGCTCCTCCCTCCCTCTCCTGAGTGTGATGGCTAGGCTGGCCTGCAACTCAGGATCCTCTGAGTGAGACAGACAGATAGATGATTGATAGATAGATAGATAGATAGATAGATAGATAGATAGATGATAGATAGATAGATAGGACAGACAGAAAGACAGACTTTTTTTTTAAAGGGGCTGGAAAGATGGCTCAGCAGTTAAAGTGCACTGGTTGTTCTTATAGAAGACCCAGGTTCGAATCCCAGCACCCACGTGGTACCTAATAACTGTCTGTAACTCCAGTTCCAGAGGATCCGACACCCTCTTCTGTCTTCCTTGGGCACTGCATGACAAGGGTGTACTTGCATAAATGCAGGCACACATAAAAGAATAAAATTTTTTTTTAATCTTTGCCAAGTGTGGTAGCGCACGTACCCCTTTAATTCCAGCACTCAGGAAGCAGAGGCAGGAGGAGCTCTGTGAGATAAAGGTTAGTCTGGGCTACATAGTGAGTTCCAGGCCAGCTGTGGCTATAGGGAGATCCTGTCTCAAAAACAGTTTTTTTTAACTTTTATGTTTGCCTGCATGTATGCAAGTGCACCCACGTCATGCAATGTCCATGAAGATCAGAAGAGGGCATCAGATCCCCTGGAACTGGAGTTACAGATGGTTGTTATCTGCCATGTGGGAGCTGGGAACCAGACCCAGGTCCTTTGCAAGAGCAGCCAGTGCTCTTAACCACTAAGTGATCTCAACAGCCACAATTTAAAATAAAAATTTCAATTAAAGGTGTGCGCCACCATGCCCGACTTTTTTTTTTAATTTATTTATTTTATGTGTATGCGTGTATTGCCTGCATGTAGTAAGTGCATCCATGTTGTGCAATGCCCACGGAGGTCAGAAGAGGCTGTCGGATCCCCTGGGACTGGAGTTACGGACAGTTGTTAGCTGCCACGTGGGTTCTGGGATTCAAACTCGGATCTTCTGCAAGAACAACCAGTGTTCTTAACTGCTGAGTCATCTTTCTAGCCCCCAAAAAGACACTTTCAAAAGATCTAATATTGGGGAGCCGGGCATGGTGGCACATGCCTTTAGTCCCAGCACTGGGGAGGCAGAGTGGTGCTCTCTGTGAGTTCAAGGCCAGCCTGGTCTACCTAGTGAGTTCCAGGACAGCTGGAGCTACAGGGAGACACTGTCTCAAAAAAAAATTAAATTAAATTAAATTTTTAAAAAAGATTTAATATTGGATGAAGAAACACTAATACATCTTTCAATTCCCATCAACGAAGCTCCCTCATTCAAAGGAGGGCCAGGAACATATGGCCACAAATGGCCAAAACGCAGAGAGTAAGAGTCTGCCGAGTGTGGGTCCTTGGACAGAAATCCTATATTGAGGTCCACCCACCCAGGGCTGAGGGACCATTGCAGAAGAGGGGGCAGAAAGATGGTCAGAGCCAGGGAGGAGGTGCATGACCATACGGAAATGGTCCTACAGGTGCTAAGGACCCCTCTCATACAAATCTACAGCAATGTGTAAGCATGCACAAGACTTAGGCAAACTAAAACCCAGCACAGAATTGTGGAAATGAACAGCAAGTCCCAATCGAAGAATTATTACTGCTGGGTGAGGAAGAGTAGATCTTCTTGAAGGGAGAGACTCTAGATAGGCTGGCTGACTAAACCCTAGTGGATGAACTTGCACTGCAGGACACTAACTTTACATAATAGGCCTTAACACAAATGACAGAATGTATGAACTCCAGTGGGGGGCTATGGGACGGTGTCAAAGGGGAAGGGAAGAGGGGATATAAAGATGATTTTATGTATGAAATACACAAAATTTCAATTTAAAAATTTTTTTTAAAGATTTAAAATCAGACATAGTGATACATGCCTTTAATCCCAGCACTTAGAAGGCAGAGCCAGGCAGGTCTCTGAGCTGGCGGCTAGCCTGGTCTACGTAAGGGTTCTGGGCCAGCCAGGGCTACATAGTGAGACCTTATCTCAAAAAAGAAAAAAAAAAAAATCTTATCTCAAGATAAATGAGTGCCCTTGCCAACAAAAAAGCAGTGTGCAACCTAGTGCCATAAGACTGATTCAGTCAACAAACCAAAGCTCACAAACATCTTCCTTCTGTGGAGCAGTACATGAGCCTCACCAGGGCTCCCAAAGCAACAGAAAGCCCCTGGCTCATCACAGAATGCTCCAAAGCACAGAGGGCGGGCAGGAAAGAAAGACAGGAGCCGGAGCCAGGGATCAGCATGGTGTGGTGACGTGCACTGACAGATGTAGGCAAGGCTGAAACGGCACTGCCCTCCTTGGACCCAGGCACCCTAGCCCCAACTAGGACTGAACTGGTGTCACTTAGACCCTGTAGCTCTTCAGGAAACCTGGTCTTCTTGTGACTGGTAACATTTCCAGGAATTAGAATAGAAATTAAAACTAGAAATCACAGTAAACTTCTGTCAGCATAAATCACCCATAGGCAGATGTTCAATCTGTGAAGTGCTTGAGGATCTGAGTTCAATCCCCAGAAAACATGCAAAAAGCCAACCACCCCTACCCAGGGGCTAACAGAGTGGTCTCTAGCTATGGTGGCTCAGGATAAGCCCTGGATTCCAGCTACTGCTCCAAGGGAAAATATGAAGTGTGTGCAGGACACTCAGTCAGCCCACATCACTGCACAGGACTTAAGAAGGCCCCATCTGGGCCAGGCGTCTCCCCGGACACCCACCCCAGCAGAGTAGCTCACCTGCATGCTCTGCTGGTACTGCATCTGCAGAGATGCTGGGGCAGAAGTGGACAGATCCAGGCCAGATCCTCCTTCCACTCGCTGAGAAATGAAGTTGTTCAGAGACCTCAGCGTGGACAGGACAGTGGTATTCTCTCCCAGGTCCTCCATGGTGACGCTCCTTCTGGGGACAAAGCAAGTGTCAGAGCCAGCCTTCCACACACTACTGCCTCCCATCAGCAGGGCTTGTGCACAGCCGACTCCCCTAAGGCCCTCGGAAAGCCCACAGTCATGTTCTTCAGAGCTAACTGGGAGCCCAGGATGGCAACATAGCAGAGAGGAGATGAAACACAAAAAGCACGCCATATGTGGGCCAGGCGTGGTGGCACACACCTTTAATCCCAGCACTCAGGAGGCAGAGGTAGGCAGATCTCTGTGACAGCAAGGCCAGCCTGGTCTACATAGCAAGTTCTAGGCTAGTCAGAGCTACAAAGAGACCCTTTAAAAAAAAAAAAAAAAAAAAAAAAAAAAAAACAGGAGGCTGGAAAGATGGCTCAGCGATTAAGAGTACTGGCTGTTCTTGCAGAAGACCTGAGTTCAGTTCCCAGCACCCACATGGGGCCTAACAACCATGTGTAACTCCAGTTGCTGGGATCCAACACCCTCTTGTGATCTCCATGGGCACTGCACAACATGGGTGCACTTAGATACATGCAGGTAATACACTTATACTCATAAAGTAAAATAAAAACAGGGGCTGGAGAGATGGCTCAGCAGTTAAGAGCACTGACTGCTCTTACAGAAGAACCAAGTTCAGTTCCCAGCACTCACATGGCAGCTACAAACCATCCTTAACTCCAGTTCTAGGGGAATCTGAAGCCCTCTTCTGACCGCCACAGCACTGCACAACATGGGTACACTCACATACATGCAGGCAATATACTAATACACATAAAATAAAAATAAATATTTTTAATAAAATAAATAAATAAAAACAATAAATTTTTTTTTAAAAAAAAACAGGCTTGGGCCAGGTATGGTGGCACACACCTTTAATCCCAGCACTTAGGAGGCTGACGGTGAATCTCTGTGAGATCAAGGCCAACCTGGTATATGTAGTGAGTTCCAAGTCAGCTCAGACTACAGAGAGACCTGTCTCAAAAACACCAAAAATATAAATAAATAAATAAATAAATAAATAAATAAATAAATAAATAAATAAAAGCAAATAAAATTTAAAAACAAGAAAACGAAAACTTGGCCACCTGCCTACCACACATGCCCCTCCCTTCTCCCTCCCCCAGCCCAATAAAAAGGTCCCCAGTCTGTACAGAAGTGGTCTCACTGCCTGCATGGTTATGGCCCTTCTCAGATTTTCCCAAATAAACCTGCCTCCACTGCTGAGCCAATTTCCAAATCCTTTGTTTCCCTTCTAGTCTCTAACAGAGTACAATCAAGGACACCCAACATCAACCATATGTGCCCATACACATAAGGACACATACACATGGCCTCTATGTACGCCCACACACTTGGGCACCCATACATACATGCCTGCCCATTACACACAAACACACACACAGACATAAAAGGAGTCTGGGCCTGAGTGACTCTGAAGTTGACATGTGTGCAGCCAGCCCTAAAAGGGGCCTCAGCTAAGGAGCCAGAGAGAACCTGGCAGCCCAACCCTGTGGTTTGTGCAGTCTCCCGAAGGCCCAGCACCAACTAAGAGAGGTGAGCATCCCAGGCACACTTGGAGCCAAAAGGCATGAACTCTACAATGTGTATGTTTAATCCCCTCAGGACCAGGCAGCTCTGGTTGACTTCCTGTAAATCAGATTAAGAGGACACCATCAAATCCTTTTTTCTTTTAAAGATAGGCTCTCAAGTAGCTCAGGCTACCCTCAAGCTATAGTCCAAAGATGGCCCTGAACTCCTGAAGCCCTGCCTCTGCCTCCCAAGTGCTGAGATTATAGGCCAGTACCATCATATTGAGCCTTCTAAAAAGGAAAGGTGAGTGAGGCATGATGGTGCGCCCTGAAACCCCAGGACTCAGGAGGTTGAGAATGAAGTTCACACGTTCTAACGTACTACGCATTCAGGCTACACAATGAGACCTGGTTGAAAAAAAGAAAAGAGTCAAAATGGTAGGATGGTTCAGTTATAAACTGCCTGCTTTATAACTGCCTGTTTGCTAGCACAAACCTCAGTTTGATCCCTAAAGTTTAAAAAAATCAAGCTGGGCATGGTGGCGCATGCCTGTAGTCCCAGCACTTAGGAGGCAGAGACAGGCGGATCTCTGTGAGTTCAAGTCCAGTCTGGTCTACATAGTGAGTTCCAGGCCAGCTGGGGCTACAGGGAGACCGTTTCAAAAAGACCAAAAAATAAAAAATTTTAAAAAATTAAAAAATAGGTTTGGGTGTAGTAACCAGCACTCTGGAGGCAGAGGCAGAGGCAGGCAGATCTCTGTGAGATCGAGGCCAGCCTGGTCTACACAGTGAGTACTAGACCAGCTGGGGCTACAGGAAGATCCTGTCTAAATAAATAAAAGCAGGGCATATTTGAAATCTCAGCACTGGGAGAAGAGACAGGTTGATCCCTGCGGCTTGCTAGCCAGCCAGCCTAGCCTACCTGGTAAACTCCAACCCAGTAAGAGACCCCGTCTCAAAAAAATAAGGTGGATGGCACCTGAGCAATGACAGCCGAGGCTGTCCTCTGGCTTACACACACACACACACACACACACCACACACAACCACACACCATACCACACCACACACCCACACCACATACCACACACCACATACACCAGACACACAATCTTAGTTTGCAAGTCAAAAGCACCTCTAACTCAAGCACCTGAGAGACCAAATACAATCAAACCCTGTCTCAAAAAAACAAGAAGGGCTGGAGAGATGCTCAGAGGTCAAGAGCACTGACCCCTCTTGCAGAGCACCCAGATTCAGTTCCCAGCACCCACATGGTGACTAACAACCATTTTTAACTTCAGTTCCAGGGGATCCAACATACTCTTCTGGCCTCTACAGACATTAGATGCATGGGTGTTAAGTACATACATGCATGCATGCAAAACACTTGTACACTAGGGGCTGGAGTGACAACTCAGCAGTTAGAGCGTTGATTACTCTTGTAGAGGACCCGGGTTCAGTTCCCAGTACCTACATCGGGGCTAACAACGATCCATAACTCCAGTTCCAGGGGTTCCAACACCCTCTTCTGACCTATGTGGGTACTGCACAACACAGGTGCACTTACATACATGCAGGCAATATACCCATACACAAAAAATAAAACATTCATACATTTAAAATAAAATAATCAAAATTTTAAAAAGAGGGTGCTAGAGAAATGGTTCAGCAGTTAAGAGCCCTGGCTGCTCTTGCAGAGGACCCAGGTTCAGTTCCCAGCACCCACATGGCAGCTAACAACCATCCATCACTCCAGAGGATCCAAGGCTCTCTTCTGGCCTCCATGAGCATTGCACAACATAGATGCACTTACATACATGCAGGCAAACACTAATAAAAAAAATTTTTAATTAAAAAATCAAACAAAAATCAATAAAGATTTTTTTAATTTAAAAAGAGAGACTTTGAGTTTGTGTCTGGATTTTGCAAAGCAAAAACAGAAGGGACAGGAACAAACTTGGGCCTGCAGTGGGCAGCAGCAGATTGCTGCTCTCCAAGCCCAAGGCCTCCTATTTGCCAAGATCAGACCAAGGTTACTTTCTGTCCTCTCAACAGATCAACCTGAAAGCCCACCCTGTAACACACAAGAACCCAGTATCTTCAACTCCCTAGAGCCAGGCCACTTCACATGCAGCTAAGGCTCCAGTTCAAACAGTACCCGCTTGGCCCTGCATAGTGGTACATGCCTTTGATCCCAGCACTTGGGAGGAAGAAGCAGGTGGATCTCTATGAGTTCAAGACCAACCTGGTCTACATAGCGAGTTCTAGGTCAGCCAGGGCGGCATAGTGAGACTGTCTCAAGAAAAAGACAAAAACTGCATGTTCTCCATTGGAACCCCAACCTTCTAGACACTGGGCAGGGAAGGGGGAGGTGTGTCAACTGCTCCGGATGGTACCTGAGCTGGGAGTCAGGCACACTGTCCTTAGGACATCAGCCAAGGTACATTCCCCAAAACTGCTGAGTACACTCCCCAAACCTGAAGAAGTAAGCAGGATCAAGGCCTGGTGACACAGGTCTGTCATCTCAGCTATTCAAGAGGCTGAAGCAGGAAAAACACAAGTTCAAGGTCTGTCTGGGCTACAAAATGAGTTCAAGGCCAGCCTGTAAAACTCAAGTGAGACCTAGTCTGAAAATAAAAGGTAAAAAGAGGGCTGAAGGCTGGGCCTTTAATCCCAGAGACGGGTGGATCTCTGTGAGATAGAGGCCAGCTCCAACTACAGAGTTCAAGGTCAGCTGGGGCTACAGAGAGACCTGTCTCAAAAAGACCAAGGGAGGGGGGCTGAAGATGTAGCTCAGTGGTCTAGCATTTACATACCACGTATGAAGCCCTAGGATCAATTCTCAAGGTGGGCGTGGGGGGGAGGGTGGCTTGGGTAAAAGCACTTCCCATCAAGTCTGACAATCTGAGAACTCTTGTAACTTGTCCTCTGACCTCCACAGGCACACTAGCATTGCTCTCCATGCAGGCAAAAAGAGGCCTGAGGATGTACATCAATGATAAGAGCGCTTGCTTATCAAGCACGAAGTCCTAGGTTCAATCCCCAGTACTGCCAAAAATAAGTTGGTCTCAAGACATGGCTCAGCGGGTAAAGGAGGTTGCAGCTAAGCCTGAAGCCCGGATTTTGATTCCTGGGCCCTACATAGTGGAAGAAGATAGTGGAAGAAGAGTACCAACCCCACAAGTAGTCCTCTGACCTCCACAGACACACTGTGGCATGTTTCTTTCTCTCTCTCTCTCTCTCTAGTTGGGACCGCACATGGTATATGCCAACTGTATGAAGAGGGGGAGAGAGACACACACACACACACACACACACACACACACACACACATCCATGCATAGATGTGAAAAGAGAGCTTGGGGCTGTACCTCAGTGGTAGAACACTTGCCTAGTATTCATGAAGCCCTAGGTTCAATCCCCAGTATTTACCAAAAGTAAACATATAAAATGGGCTGGAGGCATGGCTCA